TTCCTTCCTGTTTCCCTTCATGTTTTCTTTCCTTCCTCCTTCCTTCTCTCCCTTCTTTCCTGTCTTCCTTCCTCCCTCCCTTCCTTCGTATGTTCCTTCCTTCCTCCCTCCCTTCTTGCTTTCCTTCTTTCCTTCCTAAGTTAAGGTCTGTTGAGCAATTGCAGGTGATAAATACTTTCTCTGAAGAATGCTGTGGACACGTAATAACGTATTTCCAGAGGGATGGAAAATGTCCTCTCATATTCCTGTTCCTACTCAACACTGAAATACATACGTGTAACATGTATAAATATATGAATTATAATATAAATATATATAATTAAATATGTAGATAGGTAGGTAGGTAGGTAGATAGATAGATAGATACATAGGTAGGTAGATGGATAGGTAGATGAATAGATAGATACAAATATAGGTAGATAGATAGATACAAAGATAGATAGATAGATAGGTAGATAGATAGATAGATAGATAGATGGGTAGGTAAGTAGGTAGATGGATAGATAGGTAGAGAGAGAGATAGAAAGATAGATGATAGGTAGATAGATAGATATGTAGATAGATAGATAGATAGATAGGCAAATGGATGGGTAGGTAGGTAGATGGATGGATAGATAGATAAAGAGGCAGGTAAATGGATGGGTAGGTAGACAGACAGACAGACAGACAGACAGATAGAGAGATAGAGAGAGAGGTAGGTAGATGGATGGATAGATAGAGAGGTAGAGAGGTAGGTAGGTAGATAGAGACAGACAGACGGACAGACAGGCAGGCAGATAGATAGATAGATAGATAGATAGATAGATAGATAGATAGATAGATAGATAGATAGATAGGTAGATAGATAGATAGATAGATAGATAGATAGAGAGGTAGGTAGGTAGATAGAGACAGACAGACGGACAGACAGGCAGGCAGATAGATAGATAGATAGATAGATAGATAGGTAGATAGATAGATAGATAGATAGATAGATAGATAGATAGATAGATAGATAGATAGATAGATAGATAGAGTAGGTAGAAAGATAGATAGACTGATTGGCAGACAGACAAATCCCTTCTGGAGACTGGTAACGCGGCCCCTTCCCCACTGGGAGGCGCTGTGGAGGCGGCGCGGGGCTGGGCTCTAGCGCAGCTCCGAGTCCCGGGCGCCAGCGCCAGCCTGGGCCGGGGAAGCTTTGTAACCCCCAGTCCCTCCCCAGCCTCCCCCAGCGGCTCGCAAGAGACAGAACATCCACCCAAGTCCAGAACCAAAGGCGATGCCGGTGGGGGCCGCAGCTTTCTGAGTCAGAGGAAAGGCCGGGTGGACGGACACGGGGAAGGGCCAGGCAGCGGCTGAGAGAAGTCCTAACGCGTGAACAGATGTGTGCGTGGACTGTCAAGTCTAGGTGCGTGTGTGTGTGTGTGTGTGTGTGTGTGTGTGATGGGTCTTGAACTCAGGGCCTGGGCGCTGTCCCTGAGCTCTTCAGCTCAAGGCTGGTGCTCTACCACATGAGCCACAGCACCATTTCTGGTTTTCTGTTGATTTATTGGAGATCAGAGTCTCATGGACTTTCCTGCCCAGGCTGGCTTTGAACCGTGATCCTCAGCTCTCAGCCTCCTGAGTCGCTGGGATGACAGGAGTGCGCACCAGTGTCGGGCCTCAGTTTTCCCTTGTCCGTTTAAAGAGGACAGCATGATCTCCGGCGTGGTGATGCTCACCTTGACTCCCAGGCCTGGGGAGGCCCAGGCTGGAGGATCACCCCTGCGAGGCTAGCCTGTGCAAAACAAAAAAAGAAAAGCGGCCAGGCAGGACTCAGCCCCGAGGCCATGAGAACCAACACCCACAAGATGGCAGCCTAACCCTGAGGCTTTGAGGGCTCCAGCCGCCGCGGGAGTTCTCAGGTCTTGCGGAAAGGGTTCTCGGAGAAACTTCAGGAGTGCCCCGAGGAATGCTGGGAGAGCAGGCTCTGCTGGCTCTGGCCTCCACTAACAAACTAATGACGTCGGGCCTACGTGGCCTGGCGTGAGCCTGGCATCCCAGCCACTCAGGAGGCTGAGATCTGAGGATCGCGGTTCTGAGCCAGCCCCGGCAGGAAAATCCATGAGACTCTTTTGTTTGTTTGTTTGTTAGTTGTGGGGCTTGAACTCAGAGCCTGGGCGCTGTCCCTGAGCAATTCAGCTCAAGGTGGGTGCTCTACCACTTGAACCACAGCGTCACGTCTAGTTTTGTGGTGGTTCATTGGAGATCAGAGTCTCATAGACTTTCCCGCCCAGGCTGGCTTTGAACCGTGATCCTCAGATCTCAGCCTCCTGAGTAGCTGGGATGACAGGCGGGAGCCACCAGAGCTTGGCTTCCAGGAAACTCTTAACTGCAATGAACCCCCCCCCCAAAAAAAAGCCAGAACTGAAGCTGTGGCTCAAGTGGTAGAGTGCCACATTTGAGTGAAAAGGCTAAGGGACAGTGCCCAGGCCCTGAGTTCAAATCCCAGGACTGGAGTGTGCGTGCACGTGCACACACACACACACACACACACACACAGCTTTGTGTTTAGAGAAACCATGGTTAAGCAAAGTGCCCAGGGTCTCTCCCACCGGGAGGGGAGCGGAGCCCTCGCTGCCCACAGGTGTGGGGAGCTGACCACGGGCCGCGTGGGCACGGAAGGCATCCGCATTCCACGGCTGCGGCTACCAGAACAGCAGCAGCCCAATGGTGGTGTGATTACAAGTAGGACTTCCTGCCTGAGGCCCAGGCCCAGCCCCCCTGGGCCTCCCTGCTCACCGCACTTCCTCTTCTTGCTTCTTATTTTTCTTTTGTGGGGACTTCCTAATTTTCTTGCCAACGGTGGTGCGGTCAGCCGTGTCTAATAATGAAACATACAGCTTGCAGCAAAGAAGTCTTACAAATAAAACCCCACTGTCCTGCGGGCCAGCGTCCTGATTCTCCTGCGTGTTGAGGAAGACCCTCGCAGGGGCAGAGCTGACCGCCGCGGCGCTGCCGAACCCGGGGTTCACTTTGGCTTTGAATGCAGACAACCTGCGAGGAGGCCAAGGCTGCCCCCAGCTTTATCCAGAACTGCAGACTGGTTTATTGGTCAAGGCAAGACTTGACCAATCAGGAGAGAGAACTTGAAGGACTTGACCAATCAGGAGAGAGAATTTGAAGCACATCACCAATCAGGAGAGGGACTTGACCAATCAGGAGAGAGAATTTGAAGCACATCACCAATCAGGAGAAGAATTTAAAGGACTTGACCAACCAGGAGAGAGAATTTGAAGCACATCACCAATCAGGAGAGAGACTTGGCCAATCAGGAGAGAGAATTTGAAGCACATCACCAATCAGGAGAGACTTGGCCAATCAGGAGAGAGAATTTGAAGCACATCACCAATCAGGAGAGGGACTTGACCAATCAGGAGAGAGAATTTGAAGCACATCACCAATCAGGAGAGAGAATTTAAAGGGCTTGACCAATCAGGAGTAAGAACTTGAAGGCCTCGACCAATCAAGGAGAGAGAACTTAACGTACTTGACCATTCAGGAGAGAGAATTTGAAGCACATCACCAATCAGGAGAGGGACTTGACCAATCAGGAGAGAGAATTTGAAGCACATCACCAATCAGGAGAGAGAATTTAAAGGGCTTGACCAATCAGGAGTAAGAACTTGAAGGCCTCGACCAATCAAGGAGAGAGAACTTAACGTACTTGACCATTCAGGAGAGAGAATTTGAAGGTCATGACCAATCAGGAGAGAGAACTTGTGACCAACCAGGGGAGAGAACTTGAAGGATGTAACCAATCAGGAGAGAGTATTTAGTAGATGTGACCAATCAGGAGAGAGAACTCAATCCCTTGCTCCTCTCCACCCATTTTCCTTTCTTTTCCTCTTTCCTCTCTCCCTGCACCGCCCTCCACCCTCATCCCAGAGAATTTGGTCCATTTTTTTTTTAAACCACAGATTGCAAACGTGAGGTGAACCACGGTCAGTGGCGTTCGGGTGGGGGCAGCGTCTGAATGGCTCAATCGCCAGGAGAGTACTGGCGGGGAAGGTTGCTCGGAACCCACAAAATGGCACAACCTTTGAGGTTTGCATGAAGCAAATCCTCAGTGTGTCTCCAGTGCCCGCCCACCCTCCCTGGGCACCTCTGACTGAATGGGAGCGCATGGAAGCGTTTCCCAGTTGATATCTGTTTGTTTGGTTTTGTGCCAGTTCTGGGACTTGAACCCAGGGCCTGAATGTCATCCCTGAACTTTTGTGCTCAAGGCTGGCGCTCTACCATGTTGAGCCACGGCTCCACTTCCAGCTTTCTGGTGGTTCATTGGAGATCAGAGTCTGAGTAGCTGGGATGGCAGGCGTGAGCACCAGCGCCCGGCTCAATGGATGGTTTAAAGGGGATTGATCATAGCCGCACACACACCAACAGGTACAGTAATATACACCGAAATAATTACAGCTCTCTGGTATCTGATGCTCTTGTTCATTGGCTGGTGTTCGACCTCCCGAACCAGGCCTCCAGCCCCAAGCCCTTGATATAAACCCACTCCAAAACAATTTAGACTCAAGAGTGTGTGGTTTACCTACTGGCCCAGCTGTATTATGACTTGACTCTCACTTCTGCGCTCTTTTCTAAGTACCAGGCCCAGCTGTTCATCTGATTCTCAGAACCAGGTCTCTCCTGCAGCACTGCAACTTCCCTTATGAAATGGGAAGGGGAAGAAAGTGTTACCCTAAACGTCTAAGGCCAGCCGGGCGCTGGTGCTCACGCCTGTCATCCCAGCTCCTCAGGAGGCTGAGATCTGAGGATCTCCAGGTAGGAAAGTCCATGAGACTCTTAAAAAAATAAGTGGAGCTGTGGCTCAAGTGGTAGAGCACCAGCCTTGAGCACAGAAGTTCAGAGACAGCACCCAGGCCCTGAGTTCAAGCCCCGGGACTGGCACAAAGAAAGAAATATAAAATAGGTCAATCACAGCGAATGCCTTTGCAGGGAGGGATCTGAAGAACTGAGGCGCAGACAGATGAAGAGGATACTCCTGTATTATGGCTTCCCGCCCGCTGACAGGGAAGAGAGAGGTTTGATGGCCCACTGGGTGTTTATTCCCTGAGACAGAGATTCTGACACTAAAGGAATTCTCCCTGGGGACGGACGGACAGACAAGGGCCACATCAGACAAAGGACGTGCATTCAGACCGTACAATCCAAACATCTGGCAGATGCCTGGAAAGTGCCAGAAAGTTCTGGAAGGTCTCAGGGTTCCCCAGGGCTTAGATGATCCCGAACTGAGCGAGCTCGTGCAACTCTAGGTGGCTGAAGGCTTCCCAGGGACAGATCACGGTGATGTCTGGGGGGGGGGGGAGAAAGAGGAAGAGAGAGAGGGAGGGAGGAAGAGAGGGAGGGAGAGAGAGAGAGAGAGACGCTGTGTCAATTGCTTCTGCCTAAAAGATTCCCTGGCCAGGCACCAGTGCTCACGCCTGCCATCCCAGCTACCCAGGAAGCTGAGATATGAAGATTGTGGTTCAAAGCCAGCCTGGGCAGGAAAGTCCGTGAGACTCTGATCTCCCATGAACCACCAGAAAACCAGAAGTGGCGCTGTGGCTCACGTGGTAGAGCACCAGCCTTGAGTGAAAGAGCTCAGGGACAGCGCCCAGCCCTGAGTTCAAGTCCCAGGACTGACTCAATAAATAATAAATGAATAAATAAATAAGCAAAGACTTCCTGATTTAGACTGAGACACCTCTCTCCGCCCCCCACCCCCACCCCAAACCTGGGAGGTGCTGTAGCACATTTGTGTAGCCCAGGACAGACTCCTCCTCCAGAGACTTCTGCTGATTTTTTTTTCTTTTGCCCATCTTGGGTCTTGAACTCAGGGCCAGGGCGCTGTCCCTGAGCTCTTTCACTCAAAGCTGGCGCTCTACCACTTGAGCCACGGCTCCAGTTCTGGTCTTCTGGTGGTTCATTGGAGATCAGAGTCTCATGGACTTTCCTGCCCGGGCTGGCCTCAAACTTGCAATCCTCAGATCTCAGCCTCCTGAATAGCTGGGATGCCAGGCGTGAGCCATGGCGCCCGGCTCTGTTACATTTAGGGAAAAGAGATGTCCAGGTATCAGCAGGCCCCAGCCCCCATCTCAGATAAAATGTGATTATTCTGTAGCTCCAGAGGGACTAAACAGCTCGTGGAAAATTACAACCATCTAAAGGGAACTGGGACTGAGATCCCAGACCTTTTCCCCCTCTTTGAGTACCCGGATATCACCAGTCCGTCCAGGAGTGCTTGGAAAACTCTACCTGAAATCCTGGGGCCGTGGTAGGTTGGTGGTAGGGGTGGGGGTGCGTAGTAGTTGACTATGAAAACCAAACTCGGTAAAGAGACACGGATTGCAGTCAGGGGGGCCACTGGTCGAGTGCACAGGAGAAATCTAAAACGTACGTGTGCACGTGCGTGTGTACGCGCGCGCACACACACACACACACACCAGCACGCGAATGCCCCTGGCCAGCTGTACCCGATCGTACCAGAGCTTGGAAAAGAACCAAGCTCTCCAACATCCACGGGATGAACTGTGTGCCATTCCCACCACAGACTGTGACCTGCTATTATTATTGTTGCTGTTGGTGTTGTTTATACAACGGAATACTCTACAGCTTGGGAAAGTTTCAGCCGCTGTGGCTCGGATGGCTGGCAAAGGGAAGAAAGAAGCCATCATGCAAAAACCCCACCTGTGTGAGTGCGATCTGAATACCACAACCTTCTAGAAAAGACAAACACGAAGGTGTGGTAAGATCTGTGGTGGTCAGGGCTCAGGGTGTGTGTGTAGGGGCAGGTGTGTGGGGGGGGGTTGCTCCGGAAGCAGATGCGTTCTGAGCGCTGCGGGGGGGGGGGGGGGGGGGGGGAGAAGGGGTGGTTTGTAGGAAGTCTCTAGAACCTTCTGTTGAATTTTTTTGTCCTGCCAACCTAAGGCTTTCTGAAGAAACAGTCTTAACTTGGACCACACAACCATCGTAGGTGTTTTGTGATGAATAAGAATGACCTAGCCGGTGGGGGGGGGGGGGGAGGAGGGGGTGTTTAGTGTGGGGGTTGGGGTCCTGGGTTGTCCGAGGAGAAAATGGCTGCTAGACTTTCTGGAAGGTCTCCCTCCAGCCACTTGAGTCTCTCTGGGTCTTAACAGCTCTTAATTCAAAAGGGAAGATGGTCTAGAAACTTCTGAGAATCTTTATTGGGCGGGTGGAAGGGGCTCACGCCTGTCATCCTAGCTACTCAGGAGGCTGAGATCGGAGGATCGTGGTTCAAAGCCAGCCGGGGCAGGAAAGTCCGTGAGACTCTGATCTCCAAGGAACCACCAGCAAACCGCAAGTGGCGCTGTGGTTCAAGTGGTAGAGCGCCAGCCTTGAGTGGAAGAGCTCAGGGATGGCGCCCAGGCCCTGAGTTCAAGACCCAGGACTGACCCCCCCCAAAAAAAGCCAAGCTGTTAAACAACACGAGTCATGAAACTGTGGGTCTACCCTCATTTTTTTGGGGGGGGTAGTTAGCATCTGAGCACGCACTTAGAGGGGTAAATTCAGCACCCAGTCCTTTTCTGGAATTCTCTCTCCTTTCCGCTGGCCCTGGCAGCCTGAGTGTCTACCTGCATGGAACCCCAGAGGTTCACGTAGATGGGGATGGGTTGGGGTGTGCGGGGGGAGCAGGGGGGGAGTCTTACCTGTTCCCAGGCCCTCCATTCCCGGAATGTCATCTCCAAATCTATGGATTTACAAAGGAAAAAAAATGTCCCTCAGGTAAGAGTTAGGGTGTTCCTAGAAAGTCTAGCCCTCCCTCCCCCCAAATCCAGACACCAGTTAGCCCAGGCCTGCCATCCCTGCCGCTCGGGAGGCTGGCGCCTAGAGGACCAGAGACAGAGGCCAGGCCAAGCTGGGAAGGCCGGGGGCCCAAGGTGACCGGAAGGCGTGAAGTCTGACCACCAACGGGGAGGGCGAGGAGGAGGCCCTTACCCTTTGACCCCTTTCTTCGGGGGCTTGCTCTTGAACTGGCGGGTCTGCCTCTGCTTGAATTTGGGGGGCCCCCTGCGAGGGGTGGTGGGCCCCGGGGTGGGCGCCGGAGGGGCCAGAGACGCCTTGTCGCTCATGCTGACGCGGGCCCCTGCGAAGGAAGGAATGAGACTCGCGAGGTCCTGCTTCCCAGGCCTTGGCTCTAATCCTGGGGTGAATCGGCACGTTAGGGGGTGCAGGGGGTAAGCTTTTAATCTCAGCCGATTACTCAAAACTTCCCCCCCAGCCCAGAAGCAGGAGGGGGACGGGTGAGGTGAGGATGCTGGGGACAGGCTTGGGGCTTTCTGATGGTTTGATGCTCTTAGGGACCCCGGGCCCGCCGCCGCACAGTGCTGTAGTCTTCATCAGCCATGTGCGATCTGACCTCCATTCCATCCTTGCTTCCTCCGCCCCCTGACTCCTCCCTCTTTTGATGCACACATACGTGTGTGCAATCACACACACACACACACACACGGGTGTGTGGCAAGAGTGTACCAGCACGTGCCCGGGCATGTGGCTGACTCCCTCCTTCTCTTTCCCTGAGCTAAGAGCGCAAGATGTTAAGTTCCAGGCTGTGTTCATGGGGGTGCGTGCATCAATCTGTATATTACCTGACATGATTCTGTTTTTTTGTGTTTATTCTTTTATGTCAGTCCTGGGGCTTGAACTCGGGGCCTGGGCGCTGTCCCTGAGCTCTTGTGCTCAAGGCTGGCGCTCTACCACTTGAGCCACAGCGCCACTTCTGGCTCTTTTGGGGGGTTCACTGGAGATGAGTCTCATGGAGCCGGGTGCTGGTGGCTCACACCTGTTACCCCAGCTACTCAGGAGGCTGAGATCTGAGGATCGTGGTTCAAGGCCAGCCTGGGCAGGAAAGTCCGTGAGACTCTGATCTCCAAGGAACCACCAGAAAACCAGAAGTGGCGCTGTGGCTCACATGGTAGAGCGCCAGCCTTGAGGGAAAGAGCTCAGGGACAGCGCCCAGGCCCTGAGTTCAAGACCCACGACTACCACCACCACCACCAACAGAAAACAAGAGTCTTATGGATTTTCCTGCATGGGCTGGCTTTGAACCCTGATCCTCAGATCTCAGTCTCCCCAGGAGCTGGAATGACAGGCGTGAGCCACCGGCACCGGGCTGGGCAAGTTCATCCTAGAGAAACAGAGTGATTTGTTCAGGATAGCTGGTGAAGGTCAGGGTTGAGGTATGAGACGCGGGACCAGATGTGGGAGAGCGGAATCCAGATGCGGGACCCTCCTCCACCTTTCCCCATGCTACCACCAAGCAGATCTACCTTCCCAGCTGCTTCGGGGCCCTGAGATTATTACAGGGTGCCCCCCCCACAAAGCACCGCTTGTCAGAGGATGGTGCTCTGCAGAGATTACCGAGAAAGGATGTCAATTTAGCCCTCAGAGCCCGGCAAAGACTCTTAGCCTGCAGCCCCAAGCAGATTACAGGAAGGAGCAGCCCCACGGCTCAAGAGCAGCTTAGATGCTCTCTCAGGATCTTTGCCAAAATTAGAGCCATTTCCCAAGCAACCAATATAGCGTGCCCAGCCGGCCAGGGGTTTTGTCTCTGGTAGTGTTTTTATGACTGAATGACCCCCAGTTTCTTAAGAAATGTATTCTGAGCCTGGCGCCGGTGGCTCACACCTGTCATCCCAGCTACCCAGGAGGCTGAGATCTGAGGATCGAGGTTCAAAGCCAGCCCGGGGCAGGAAAGTCCGTGGGACTCTGATCTCCAATGAACCACCAGAAAACTGGAAGTGGCGCTGTGGCTCCAGTGGTAGAGCGCCAGCACCAGCACCTTGAACTGAAGAGACAGTGCCCAGGCCCTGAGTTCAAGCCCCATGACTGACAAAATTGAGAGAGAGAGAGAGAGAGAGAGAGAGCTTCTGGATTTCAGCCTTCTGGGTAGCTAAGATAACAAGCATCAGCCACAGATGCTCAGCTATCTGGGGGGGGATAAAGGGAGCTAGTTTCAAATCTGTGTCCCCTGTCTGTCTCCTGGGGCTGGGATTACAGGTGTGCACCGCCCTGCCCGGCTGTTTTCCTTTTGGTGTTTTCTGTCTGGGGTCCTTGGTATTTCTCCCTTGGGTCCCATGTAGCTAGGGATAGGATTGTTACCATGGAAGTCACCAGAATACCTGCAGGCCAAGCAGAACATCGCCTCGGTCCTGAGCCCAGGGCCACATGCCAGGGCTATCTCTGGCTGAGAGCTGCCTGTGGGATGCGTGCGGCTCCCCGGGACTCAGAGCCGTCAAATCTCGTGTCTTCTGGGGGGTCTTTGCTCCCAGAGAGACCTCTCCAGACGGCTCCTCCAGCGTGGGCCGCGGTCAACGCCAGCGCCTGGGAAGCCAAGGCCCACGGCTGGGTTAGAAGACCGTGAATTCATCAAGTTGTCTGACTCGGTTGGCCGCCCGGGGCCCCTGGGTTGGATACCAAGGCAGGGGTTTTTAGCTGAAAGAAAAATAGTAACACACACACACACACACACACCACGAAAAATGGGGGGAAAAACCCGCCGATATTGTTAGGAACACAAAGGCGCCCGGCCTCTCTACCTCGGATGGTATAAAATAATGAACGCTGCTCCGAATGGACTCCCATCCATGGAAATAGAGGGCTTTTTTCTTCTATGTTGTCTATGTTTTCTTCTATGTTTTCTTTCCTCTTTGTCTCCTGGGTGGGTTTCTCTGTCTCTGGGAGGGTGAGGGGGACACAGAAATGGGGGGACAGAGGGGGAAACCAAGGCAGCCGTGGTCTTCACTGGACACCAGGTGGAGAATGAACTCTACCACTGGTGGGTGGGGACGGGAGGGAAACACTGGGGGACAGAGCGAGGGAAAGGGGGACAGGGTCCACAGAGACGTGCGCTCAGGACCCGACTGATGTCACTGTCACCCAAATTTAAAACACAATAGTGACAGTGGGTGGATGAAGTCACTTCTTGAAACAATCACCCGTTGGACTCCAACCACGTATCCTCAGGGCATGGGTTCGAACTCAGCACCGAGCTGGCCGTGAGACCCCCTAGACACGGAAGTGACCGGTGGAGTTGGACCTGGATGCGTCCAGAGCTCCCTGGCAAGCTGGTGATTTTAGACACAGCGCCTGGTCCTGTACGGCAGCCACCGGGCGCGAGGTCCCTTCCCTCGGCCACCTGGACACACAAACCCTGTGTCCACGGCCACCGGGCCCCCCGCAGGCAGGACCGCAGCCGGGGAGGACGGACGCCCAGATAGGCCTCCAGCGAGCGGGAACCGGATTGCAGATCGCCCTGCAAGCTTCCTCTTCCACAGGCTTGAAGACATTTTTTTTTTTTTTTTTACCCCTCACTTCCTTCCTGTTCCAACGGCCAGATCTGAGACGTCGGAGCCCACAGACGGGGTGCAGACCGAGGAGCAGCAGCACAGCACATGTGAGTTGAAATTGTGGGGGACCCGGTGGGCCGGGGGGGGGACCGGGGAAGGGAGACTTAGACTGTCGGTAAAAAAAAAAAAGAAGGAAAATTGACCCTAGGCTAGGACCACCGCCCGCGGGGCTGGAGGAGCCATTCCTCGGTCAGGCAGACCTTAGGATCCAGGGCTAAAGAAAGTGCTAGAATGCTTGTGTGGGGAAGGGGAAATTGGGGCATAGAATGGTCGCGTTGATCTGGGTGTTGGGGAGATAGCTGGGGTGGGGGGGAGAGAAGTGTTGTTACTTGGTCCTGTGTGTGTGTGAGAGAGAGAGAGAGGGAAGGAGGGAGGGAGGGAGGGAGAAGAGGCCTGCTGACGTTGGGCCTGGTGGGCTTTCCTGCAGGGTTGGAGCTCCCATTTGGTCAAACTGAGGCACGGGGAGACTCGAGACCTCCATGATTGCAGAAGGCTTCTGCCTGTGACAATGGTTGGTGCAGGCAGAGGTGTGGTTTCCTGTTTTGAAGCAGACTGCTGAGGGGGGGGGTCAGAGAGAGAGAGAGAGAGAGAGAGAGAGACAGAGAGAGGGAGAGAGAGACAGAGAGAGGGAGAGAGATTAAATGGTTCAGAGCCGTCAAAACCCTAAGCCCTGTCTCAGCATGGCCTTGCCCACGGCGGGACAGACGGACAGGGCAGACACCCTGTTAACTTTGGGCGTGGGTGACACACCGTTTCTATCAGCATCGAGTTCCCACGGCAGGGTGGCCAAAGGAACACATGATAGCTGTTCAGTTTTGCCACAATAATAGTAATAATACTATCAATAACAACAACGGCAACAATAACAATAATAATAACAACCCTCTGCCTCAGAGAAAGCTAAGAGCAAATGGAGAAGACAGGTTCTAGAAGACTCTTCGGTGGACGTGGGGTGGTGGTGGATGCGGGGTGGCGGTGGATGCGGGGTGTGGTGGTTTCGGGGTGACACGGCGGGTCCAGGAGAGCTCGGGGCGCCGCCGGCTCCGCAGGGATGACCGGTCCGCAGCCTTTGCAGTGCGCATGCGGGTCCGCGCGCTCCGTGCACAGTGCGCATGCGGGTCCGCGCGCTCCGTGCACAGTGCGCATGCGGGCCCGCGCGCTCCGTGCACAGTGCGCATGCGGGTCCGCGCGCTCCGTGCACAGTGCGCATGCGGGTCCGCGCGCTCCGTGCACAGTGCGCATGCGGGTCTGCGCGCTCCGTGCACAGTGCGCATGCGGGCCCGCGCGCTCCGAGCACAGTGCGCATGAGGGTCAGGCGAGCTCTGTGCACAGTGCGCATGCGGGTGAGCGAGCTCCGTGCACAGTGCGCATGCGGGTCCGCGCGCTCCGTGCACAGTGCGCATGCGGGTGAGCGCGCTCCGAGCACAGTGCGCATGCGGGTCCGCGTGCTCCGTGCACAGTGCGCATGCGGGTGAGCGCGCTCCGTGCACAGTGCGCATGCGGGTCCGCGTGCTCCGTGCACAGTGCGCATGCGGGTCCGCGTGCTCCGTGCACAGTGCGCATGCGGGTGAGCGCTCCGTGCACAGTGCGCATGCGGGTCCGCGTGCTCCGTGCACAGTGCGCATGCGGGTCCGCGTGCTCCGTGCACAGTGCGCATGCGGGTCAGGCGAGCTCTGTGCACAGTGCGCATGCGGGTCCGCGCGCTCCGTGCACAGTGCGCATGCGGGTGAGCGAGCTCCGTGCACAGTGCGCATGCGGGTGAGCGCCGGGTTCCACGCGTGATCCACGGGCAAATACGTGAGTGGAGGCCGCGCCCCACGCCGAGCTGCGGGGCCGTGGTGTGGCGGGCTGGGAGGCCGGCCTGCTGGAGGCGAGTGACCGTCTGTCCCGGGGGCCTTCCGGGTGGCGGGGCGGGGCGCCGGAAGTGCGATGGTAGAGCCGGAAGCGCCGGTGGGAAGTGTGGGCGGAGAGCCGGAAGCGCGATGCTGGAGCCGGGCGGGGCCGCAGGCTCGGGTTCACAGGCACGTCCTGTCCTGCGTGGAGGACCGAGCCCCCATCACCCTCCAGCGAGCAGGAGACAGGGAGGGCCACCCGGCCCAGAATGTTCCATCCCCCCATCCTCAGTTCTGAGAGCGCGAGCTCTCAGCAGGGCCCGCCATGGGGCCCAGAGAGGTCGGCAGCGCCCCCGCCATAACCCAGCACCGAGCCCAGCCATAACCCAGCACCGAGCCCAGCCATAATCCAGCACCGAGCTCAGCCGTAACCCAGCACCGAGCTCAGCCATAACCCAGCACCGAGCTCAGCCGTAA